AGACATACGGTTGTCAACTAGGTATACAGACACAGTCGTTACATATGCACTTCTAGTGGAGAGTATTGATAAGATGGTTTCTACTATATTCAGAGAGGCTGAGTAGAGTTCAGAGGCTGATTTGTGGCAAGAGGCGATACAGGAGGAGATGATGTCTCTTCACAAGAACGACACATGGGAGCTTGTTGAGCTTCCAAAGGGGCGGAAGGCTATTGGTTGCAAGTGGGTGTATACGAAGAAGGACAACATTGAGGGCACTCCCATGAGGTTCAAAGCTAGGTTGGTAGCGAAGGGATATGCACATGAAGAAGACATTGATTAAATTGAGGTCTTTTCTTCGATGGTGAAGCACTCTTCGATTCGGATTCTGCTAGTTTTGATGGCACAATATGGTTTGGAATTGGATCCATTGGATGTGAAAACGATATTTTTATGGTGATCTTGATGAGAAAATCTATATGACTTAACCATTGGGGTTTTGAGCTGCAGAGAAGGAGAAATTGGTTTGCAGTTTGAAGAAATCGTTATACTGTTTGAAGCAATCTTCACGACAATGGTATAGGTGATTCGATAGGTTTATGATCGTTCATTCGTACATTAGGAGCTAGTTTGATCCTTACGTCTATTATCGCAAGTTGAATGGAGGTGCATACATTTACTTATTGCTTTATGTCGATGACATATTGGCTGCTTCTATTTCTAGTTTAGCTATAGATAAATTGAAGGTACAACTTTCGAAAGAGTTCAAGATGAAGTATTTGGATGAAGCGAAGCGCATTTTGTGGATGGAGATCGATAGAGACAGAGACGGACATAATTTATTTGACACAGATGACTTATTTGAAGAAGGTGCTACAACAGTTCAATGTGAGCATGGAGACGAAGCCAGTCAGTGTACCATTGGGAGCCCATTTGAAGCTTTCAACTGACTTTTCACTGAAGATAGTTGAAGCTAGAGAGTTGATATCAAAGACTCCGTATGCGAGCGTAGTGGAAAGTTTGATGTACGTCATGGTTTGTACGAGGTTAGATTTATCACAGGCAGTGAGCATGGTTTTAAGATACATGCACGACCTGAGTCCGAGTCATTGGGATGTCGTGAGATGGATTTTGAGGTACATTCGAGATATTCTCAACGTTGGTTTGGTTTTTAAGCGGGACACTAGCGGTGGGCAGCTATGTATTGGATACCTAGATTCGGACTACGCTAGAGATTTGGATAAACGCCGGTCGATGACATGGTATGTGTTTACTTTGACCCGTGCGCTGGTGTGTTGGAGATGTACCTTGCAGTCTACGGTGGCTTTATCGAAGATGAAGGTAGAGTATATGGCGATTACGGAGGCTGTTAAGGAGGTGATTTAGCTTCGAGGACTTTTGGAGGATCTTGGTGTTTCGCAGCGATCCGCCACCATTTATTGTGATAGCATGAGTGCTATTTATTTAGCGAAGAATCAGGTCTTTCATGCTAGGACGAAGTATATCGACGTTCGTTGTCACTTCGTTTGAGATGTTCTTGGAGATGAGGATGTGAAGCTCGTGGAGGTCCACACAAAAGATAATTCAGCGGATATGCTCACAAAGATGGCCCCGAGCAACAAGTTTGATCATTACGGAAACTTGTTGCAAATTCACCCTTATTGAGGCCGTTTGCGGCCATTTGGATGAACTACGGGCGACTTGATCCCTTAAAAGAGGGGGTACGTAGGCAACCACAATGGTGCAGTCGGATTTGGAGAGACGACACATTGATGCTCATGTTGATATCGGCTCAGTTTTGGGAACACTTCGCTGAGGTGGAGAATTGTTTGAAAAGCTAAGTTTTTTCGGTGAACAATGTCATCAGTTGACTGATGCCAAGGTCTGTCGACTGAAGAAAAGCCCTAGAATTATGAAAAAGTTCCTGCGCAATCGACTGATAGGCGATTAGTCGACTGATGAGCTCGTTCAATCGACTGATAATCCTATCAGTCGACTAATGGAACTGTGAGCAGTTTTTTGTGCATGTTATCAGTCGACCAATGTTTCACATCAGTCGACCAATGTCGGTTTGCCTATGCTGTTTTGGTTTCCTGTTCGGTTTTGGTTTGGTGTTTGATTTAAATACAAACACGATTTCTAGGGTTAATAGAGGAGAGATTGTTGAGTCTTTTGAGCACATTGAGAGGGAGATATTGTGTGGGAGTTGAGATCTTTGGTTGGGGTTATATTTGAGAGTTTGTGTGAGTTGTAATCCGTTGTATTTCTTCTTCATATAGTAAAATCTCCTCATCCTCTCCTCGTGGACGTAGGCAATTGCCGAACCACGTAAATTTCTGTGTTTGTGTTGGATTTTGGAATTTATTTGGGAATTATACTCGTGTTTGGTTCTTCTGTCATCGCTCGTCGACTCGTTTGGTTTGCGAGCACGCTTCCATATGACGCGCAACAATTCAACGCTATTTTCTACAGTTCTACAAGAGAAAAATATAGAATCCATTTTCTTCAAAAAAAAAATTTTAATTTATGACTCATCAAATAAGAAGCGAACATTTCTCTCTCTCATACGAAATAGTGTAGTAGATAGTAGCATAGTTATCAGTATTTCATTACTAGCCTCGTGCTTGCATATGAGTGACACTACAGGCACATCATGTGCCACACCCTCAGCCACACTCTCCTCTCTCTGCTACAGTAACCGGGGCCCACATGAGATTTATATAAATAAATCTCATGTGGGCCCCGGTTACTGTAGCAGAGAGAGGAGAGTGTGGCTGAGGGTGTGGCACATGGTGTGCCTATATCATTTTTGCTTGCATATTGTGGATCACAATAAAGAAAACGATAATGATTTAGATCACATTCTTAAGAATCCTTTAATGTAGAACTAAACACAACATTAATGTAATACTACGTACTTTACATGAAAATAAACAATATAGATTCGACCACACTCTTAAGAATCCTTAATTGTAATACTACTTTAAATGAAAGTATTCCCTTTGTATAATATAGTAATACAATAATATTTTTTAGAAAAATTTAATCAAAAAATAGATTTCCAGAATGTTGTATCATATGTACTTTGCCACCTAAACAACACACCTCGGATTTATCTGTTAGTTTTAAAATTAAGGAGACAGAAATTCTGAGGCGTGAAACACTTTCCTTAAAGAAATATTTACCCCCACTTGATATTCAAAGTTGCTTCGGGTTAATGCAAATTTTCTTCCCAGGATACAACAGAAAATAAAAATTCCAGTAAGCAAATCTGGAATTTTCCTTAATTCGTTGTGAAACAAGTTTGTAATATTGCAGATGTTTTTGGTAGAAAAGATTCAGAAAAAGAATTAGTTTTTGGTATCTGAAATCATTAACTATTTATAGGTTTGAAGAGGTGCTTCCAACAGTCATAACTTTTCAAAACACCCCTTGGAGCAAAGAGCCATTTTTCAACAGTCACTTGTCTTTTCATAATTTTTAAAATTCAAAATAATATTAAAAATATTATATTTAATATATAATTATATATAAAAAAATAGAACATTTAAGCGGCAGCGGCAAGCGTGCTAAGTGCTAAGTGCGTCTAATAATCACACATTATTCGCGCTACCCGCACGCGGGTTTAGAAGCCTATACTTTGATCCATTATTCAAAGCCCAATAAGCATTCAATGCTTTTAAACCTCTAAAAGAATGTTCAAAATTCCAATGTGGGACTATCTTGTTTTTTACAAACAAATACTAACATTATCATGTTCTTAGGAATTGCACCAAAAATTGTATATATAACGTATTTATTTCAGATGATGGAGATTCGATCACCAATCTCCGAAAGTTTTGATCATTATCGCTGATATAAACTAAGCTTATTGAATTTACTTCCAAACAGAGGGAAACGTAAACCAATTCTTTCCATTTTTCGTTTTTCAAAATATAAATTGTGATGAGAAGAGCAGGGTTTGTCCTTTTGGTCCGAAGAGGCCATAGTTAGTTGCATGTCTCAACGGACAAACACGTCACTCTTGGCCTTTACCCTCCGTCCGTTACATGGGCCCCATTAGCACGCGCTTCACCCATCCACACCACAACAAACCCAAGAGAGAGAGAGACTCCCATTGAAAACATAACAATCCTCGTAACCAAAACACAACATAGTATGATGTAACAGAGAGAGAGAGAGAGCTTCTTGAAGACATAATCAAGAGACTGTAGAGAGAGAAAATTTTGGCGCTCTCTCTCTCTCTCTGAATCAGCCGCCTCTCTCTCTCTAGCTAGCTACAGACTACTTCAACTCTCCATTCTCTCAACCACATCCTCTCAAACACTCTCCTTCAAATTAAGCTAAGGCGAGCATATCTTCCTCTTCTTTCACTCTATCTCCATCCTCCCAATCCAATTAATATCCCCATATCATGCCCAAAATCTTACCGAATATCAACATTCAAAATGGAAGAAAAAAAATATATACTGAAGATTTGTTCTACATTAATTCAAACTAATTCCTTGACTTCAGGCTAGCTCTTCCCCCACTTGAAGACAGTTTACTCGAGGACCCGACACGTTGAAGGAGATACCCCGCTAACGTCTCCCCGCAATTCCCGTTTACAAACACGCCGGCCACCCCGCCCTCTATAAATCCAAAACCCAGTCCTCGATCTCCTCAAATCCTCACGTTATTAAACCAAAACCTCATTACTTGAAATGGACAGAGCTCTTAAAGGGAAAGATATCATGATGAGCAACAATCGTCGTGACCCCCCGAAGCGATGCCCTCGATGCGAGTCGGACCAAAACCAAGTTTTCTGCTACTTCAACAACTACAGCCAGTCCCAGCCGCGACACTTCTGCAGAGCCTGTCGCCGTTACTGGACCGAAGGGCCACGCTGCGCAACGTCCCCCAGGGCGCGGGAGCTACCGGAGAGGCAACAAACGCTCCAGAAGGGCGCCGCCGCTGCCCCGGACACCACGGGCTCTGAGGTGTCCATCGCCCGCGGCCTCCGCCGCAATCCGCCTCCGCCGGCGCCTTCATTTTTTGGCGGCCGGGGACGGTAGATGACTGCGGTGTTCCAGCCGTTTTCATCATGGGTGCGCGGGAATGATGCCGGATTTTTTGGGGTTTAATTCTGCGAGTGACCCGATGATGCCGGGGTTTTTTAATCTTCCGATGCATCCACCGATGCAACCACCGGCGTTTGACACTAACTTGATGATCGGGCAGCAGCCGAGGCTTGCTGTGACTTCTCACCAGCAGATGAATATTACTGTGTTTGCTAGTAGTACTGCTGCTGCTGCAGGTTCTAATGTGAGCTCAGCTGGTGCTGGCAATAATGGTGAAGGGTATTGGAAGCAGTTCAACAATGAAGGAGAAGATGACAGCTCTCAGCCTCCGACGCCATAATTTATCTATTTAGGTCGTCAACTTTTGCCTTTTTTTCCCCTTGAATTAATTTAATTTCTTGTCTGGGTGTTGTTTTTTATGTTTGTTATGTTGTTGTTGAGATCAGATAAGAGGCAAAAGTTTCAGGAAAAAAGGAGTGAGCAAGCAACAGCAGGAGATCGAAGAGAAGAACAAGAAGAGAATTTTTCATCGTTAGCTTTTTCTTCTCTTTTATTTTCCTTTCCTTTTCTTTTTTAATTAATTAGTTTCTTTCTTCTTCTTCTTCTTCTTATTCCTTTTTTTTTCGCCCTTGTGGTTCGACTACCTAGCTAGTGTGGTTAGTTGTTCTGTAGAGTGAGAGAGAGAGAGAAGAGAAATGTCTTTTGTTTAAACGCATGTGCCATCTGAGCACAAGAGATGAAAGCCTTTTCTCATTCTATTTCAGGGTCTTTTTTAATGCTATTTTTTTTCAAACTATCCTTAAATATATGTCACAGTCATCATCGGGAATTGGACGAGTTGTAAATGCAACCCTGCAGTGGCTTTCATAGTTTGGGGCTCTGAGAGAGCCGCTTTCTTCTGTGCTTCTCTGAGATTCCCCTCTAACAAATTAATATTTCTTTATAAAAAAAAGACTTAGGAGAATCTAAGGAGAGAAGGGTGGCGTACTTGCATATATCTAGACAAAGGTGACATCTATTGTCTATTGTCCGTTGTCCCCTCTAGTGGAAGATCTATACTACAGGATCAAGCCATTCCCCTAAAAGATGACCAATCCTTGAGAGAGATATGGTGGTATTTACTGAGAATTAAATTTGGTTTACTTACCTGAAGGAAAAAAAAAGGTTTATGTTTTGAAGCATGAAGTATTGATTGAGAGAGAGAGAGAGAGAGAGAGAATGGCAATGTCCTGAAGTATTTTATTCGGTCGGTGGAAAGTACCGTCCCACTGTGGAAGGGGATGCACATCCACCAAACTTCCACTCACAGGGTGGCCACCAATCACACGCACGTACTAGGTACATGCATGTTCAATAAGTTCATATGATCTTATGGTAAATATGAACTCGATATATTTGGACATAATTTAAAGAATACATATGTTGTTAAGAGTTATTTATTGGCGAAGTACACGAATGCAACTCATCTTTTTTATGATGAAGTCTCTAAAGATGTCCAATATGAGATATGAGTCCTATCTATGTAGATGTGGTGCATGATAATATTGGATATGTGCTAGATATAGTCTAGAACTAGTTACTGCATGGGCCAAGTTAGCCGGCAAACGAAGGCAGACCAATCCGTTCCGGGCCAGTTTTCACGAGTGGGTCGTTATGGGCTCAGAGACTCAAAATCTAGATCAGGGCTAGGCATGGTCACAACCCCTTTTTTGCGAAAATTTACACATTCCTAACAAATACTCAACCCATGTTCACATTTTATCTCATCCACAGAATTGTCTTTCACAAATTCACTATGTATGATTTTTTTCTTATCGATTTTTAGTGGCTACGAGTTTATTTTCTTAAGTTAGAAACAAATAAGATAGACGGTGAAAGAGGCCTCCTGACAAGCTATAAAGGCCTATCTTAGCCAAATGGCCCTTAAGTCAAAATGGAATGAGACTGTCACTTTTAACTGTTACTAGTTCTTATGCACGTGCATTGCACGTAGTTAAATATCAAAATTATTTATTTATTTATTTATTTATTTTCATGCTATAAGATAAGTTAGATTCATCTTGAGTTAATCTTTAAACATGGATTATTACATTTGCCATAAATTTTATTTAAGTATTTTTTTAAAAAATTTATGAAATAGATTTGCATGTAAAACTGGGATCAATATACTTTTATATACCTGCATACACAACATTATTTTTTTAAATTTGTATATATTAAACTTCATGTAACATATTTGTTTATGGATCAAATCGTCGATCTCCAATTTGTTTATCTTAGTAATTAAATGTAGTGTTAAATTTGAAAAAAAATACAATAATGTATTGTTGATGTGTTAATAAAATATAACCAAATACTTAATATTAAGATGGTTTGTATAAGCTCAACACAGTGTACATACTTTTCACAAGACTGCAAGACATCTTAATTATTGATAGACTTAAAATAAAAAAATAAGTACTAAATATTATTGGTGACTCTAGTATAATTTTATATGACAAAATCATTCACATAAGCATATTAAAAATTTTGCATCAAAATCCCTTCTGAAGATTTCAAATTAAGTTCTACTATAAAATATTTCAAAACTTGTTATCCTTTTTTCCTTATTTTTTCATATTTAATTGAGCTGAAATCACTCATTCTCCACCTTTATCTTTTTCTTGGGTAATTCTACAATAGTGTCTTCATCATCTATATTAATTATGTTATCAAGTTGATATATAATAAAGAGCAAAATACAAGACAAGAGTCCAGAAATATATTAGGATATACTTAGATCAATCAAGTTATATTATTACTCATAATTGATATGTATCAGAGACAAAAAATGTTGACAATCTTAAACTATAAAACAGACTGTATGGGCCCTCTAACAAAACTTTTTTAATGCAAATAACCCTCAAGATTAATTTTGAGAATCTCTTGGGGTTAGGAATAAACAACTAACAAGTTTACAGTGAAAGCTAGGAGAATGCAATACATTCTTAAGAATTATTAATCTTTACTTAATTTGTTTATAATGACAGGATCTTATTATTAACTAACTATAAGGCGTAGTACATTGTTTTTATTGTACGTTCGAGGCAGGCAGAGGATCCAGGTGAGTCCTTATCGTAATGAACGTTATATAATTTAAGTACAAAGAAAAAATGAGGATTGATCAATGATGTAGTTAGTGAGGGGGAAACTCTAACAGCTTAATTTGGGTATGTGGATATATTATAGATTGAGACGGAGAAGTGTGGTTTTGAAAACAGTGAGTGTGTGGGGGTAATTAATATAGTTTTTGTTTGTGATTTTCTTCATTCATTTTCAAGATATATATAGTCATGTGGATATATATAGCTATCGCATTGCTATTCTCTTTTGGCTTTGTGGAAGAGTTTGGGTGAAAAAATAAATTATCTAATCCGATTAAAGTATGATCATATAAGTTAAGCTCATGCATGAAATTTTTTTAACCAACATTAATATGTAAGTATTACAATTGACATTAAGATCTAAGATACGTGTGAGATTCTCTTTGACTTTTATACAAATAGTATCTTTTAAATAATAAAAGTATAATTAAACTTTGTGATAAAAAAGATCAAATATACAATATAATTAATTGCTTTAAAATAATGTGATCTAATCTAATAAGAAGAAAATAGATTAAAGTGATTTAAAAATTATTATAATTTCATAATTCACAATTTTTAAACAATCTAATCTAATAAAAAGAAAATAACAAAGGCACATACTTGTTGAATGAGATGAAAGTGTTATGAAAATTATTGTAATTTCTGATATAAAAAAAGATCAAACATACAATATAATGAGTTGCTTTAAAATAATCTAGTCTAATCTAATAAGAAGAAAATAGATGAAAATGTTGTGAAAATTATTGTTATTTCTTAATATGAAAAAATTAAATACACAATATAATTAATTGCTTTAAAATAATCCAATCAATCTAATAAGAAGAAAATAACAAAGGCACATATCTATAGAATGAGATGAAAGTGCTATGAAAATTATTGTAATTTCTTGGTTTATATATATTGGCATGTGCTGTTGCATGTGAGAGAATAACAATTATAAATAGAGTTCTATTTAAATAATAATAGTATAATTAAACTTTGAAACTCATTATACACTACCGTGAACTACTTGAAGTTTAATCAATGAGAGATCACCATGTTATGTTCTCAGATCACAGCCATTTTTTTGAATTTTTCATTTTTATAATTTTGAGAACGACTCTTGTCTATTTAATTTGTTTGGTGGATTTTACAAATATCTCATCCATATTATGTACATTTATAGATCTACGTTGTTTCTAGGTTCGACCTTTGGGGCAGATATTTTTTGTCTCGTTGATTTGTTTGGTTTTTGCATATACGCCATTCATCTTGTATACATTTGTAAAGTTGACATTTAATAATTTTATTCATGTTTACATTTCAATTTAAACTATATCCCTATCTTCATACTATGTATATCCAATAAGAATTCATTAATTTATCAACTTATTCTTACTTAATGGATTAGTATTTGAATTATTTCAAGGGTATTTTTGTCTACCGAAATATTTTCTCGAACTCGTGCGGTTAAAAGGAGTATGATATGATATGATTTTTGATAGTTTGAGAGAACATTTCCAACAAAGAATTGAATTATAATAATGATTTCTAAAGAATTGAATTATAGTTTGATAGTTTGAGAGAACATTTCCAACAAAGAATTGAATTATAATAATGATTTCTAAAGTTCTCTCAAACTATTTGCATAAATAAATAAAAAATAACAAGACTCATAAACTTCAGCAGCGTCTTAAATATAATAACAAGAAAAACAAAAAAGTATACTTATACATACTGTGGGGTATACTGGAGCTCGGTCAACCGGCTTCTTGGCCTGAACTCATGCCAGTGTTTCTTCCTAAGTACATACTAAGAGGAACACAAAGAAGCCTTCTGTTTCATCAGCAATTTCTTTAAATTTTGCATTAGCTGCCTGTTATTGTAAAGATAATCTTCAAATGATTTTCTTAAATTCCGAAGTAGCTGTACATCACTCTGATTAGTTTGTACATTCAGCAAGGTGGAGAAGAGGTTTTTCCACAGATCCGTTTTCCAATACCTGAGGTAATGAAATGTTGCAGATAATAAATGAGAAGATCAAAGGTATCAAAATGATAACCACAGTAGTTTTGCTTTTAGTAGCAACAAGATAGAAAATGTTACAACAAGATACCTTTTGAAAGGTAATTTAGGTTGGTAAATGTAGCTTCCATCTGCTGTAATCTTCTTCTCAATGCTCATGTATTGCCCATGAAGCATCATATGAACATTTACACAGAGACCATAAGTATCCACCTGAAACCACCATCTTACAAATTTCAATTTCTTTTTAAAAAAAGGTATTTGAGAATATGGATCTTAACTATGAGTATATTCCCAATTCCATTAGGAAACGTGTTTGAGGAAAATTTCAGCAATGTGGAATTTATTTCATGAGGCTCGTAATTTAAAGAAACCTGATAAGTCCATGTCCGGTTTTCTTGCATCTGAACACACTGAAACCCCGAAGTTTTGCAATCCCCATTAAATTCAGTATTAGCAGGGAAAAGACTCGTATCTATCCCCTTTCCCCAATCCACAAGGCATAAACCCTGGAAAGAAAATTTTACTATAAGCGCTTGCATGTGAGAGAAAGAGAGAGAGAGAGAGAGAGTAGTGTGTGTGTTGTGTTTGTGTAGAGACCTGATCCCGCCAGGGTCCATCCTCCGTTGGATCGTCCCTACAGAAAGAAAAAGAAAAAAGCTCCTTAATATGTATATCCTTTGAGAAAAATAGTAAAGCATGACCCCTTCAAAATCATCAATTGCTACTAGGATCAAATATCAGATATTCCAAAGGACTAACTAGGCATGTTTTTATTGAAGCTATGTTTAATTTAGCAAAACAGCAAATCAAAGAAACAGCACACAGAATATATATGTATGCAGACATGTGTATGTATACAATAAATAAGGTATGTTTGCCAAAATAAACACACAATGATGTTTTAGCATCAGCGATTTGGAAAATCATCTTGACACACAAGTTGAATGCAGATAATAGTAGTATTGTCGTCAAAATAACATTCAGAACTGAGAGGCAAACCAGCAACATGCATAAAGTTCAGCACTAGAAACTGAATGTTGTTTATGACCTTCATCCTTGGTATTAATGTCAGAAGTTGCCAATTAAAGGGTCAAATAGAACAAGTAATTGATTAGTCTCCTTTTTAGAGACGAGAAAGAGGAAACTTTTGATATGTGTTCTACAAAAAACTGATAATATTAATTAATAAATAAATAATCTTTAGACAACTTTGCAATGATTGACTTCTGATCTGATTACAGAAGGTAAAATTATCAGATTGGTATATTTTGAGCATGTTTGGCAACTACTTATTTTTGGTTCCTTATAAGTTACTTATTACTTATTCTTAAAACTACTTATAAGGATGGGGAAAAAAATAAGTAAGGTGTTCGGTAAATCCTTTTAACTTACAAGGATATTTAAGTACTTATGTGTTTGGTAAACTGATAGCTTATAAGATTGTTTTAGTTGTCAAATGACTAAAAAGGACATATTGTTGTATTTCATATTATTTGTGCTAAATTAATTCATTATTATGTTAGTAGATAATTATTATTAGTAAATTTATTAGTTAATTAACTAGGTAATTAAGAAAATTTTAATTATTTCGCATTAATTATGATTATTAAGTAATAATATTGAGATTAATTAATTAATTTTCATATTAATCAAAATTTGTTATTAATAAAAATAATTAAATAATTAAAAATTATTTATCTTATAATAAGAAATATATTTGCTTAAAATATTTTTATATATATTGCCCCTTTTTTTTTTTCTTTTTGGGGGGGGTTTTATTAAAATTTATAATATATATTAAGTAATTATTTTCATATTAATAAAATAATAATTATTAATTATTAATAATAACTACTCTATAAGAAAAATAAATATTGAACTAAAGTATAGTTTATAGTTTATATATATGTATATATATATATATATATATTATATATATATATATATATATTATATATATATTATATATATATTATAATTCTATTCCTATTAATTACAATATTGACGCTATATAATTAATTTCATATTAGGAGATTTGTTGTAGGATGATAAAGGGGCTTGAAGGGGTAATTTGGTCTTTGGCGTGAAGAAGTAAAACTCCCCATACGTAGGGGAAAAATAATTTGGGGAATACCAACTTATTTTATCTCTACTTATAAGTTACAGATAAGTAAAAAAGTAAAGCTTCACCAAACATGTTATTGGTACCTTATAAATAAAAAGTCACTTACAAGTCAAAATAAGTTGTTTGCGTCAAAAGTTGACTTTGTCATGGAATTCATCATATCTTCGGTCGATTACAATAAATTCGAAAGAAATAACCTTTTTATAAGGCCTCTTTTACACAACAAAATAAAAATTACAACTCTTGAGAAACAAACGCAGGATCGTTGTTTAGATCGCTGCTTGCGTGGGATTTTTGCCTGTGCCGGGAGCGCTTTGACTCGTGGACCACCAAATCACAGATTCTGATTGAATCGTGAGGGGTTTAATGATTCTGACTTCGTTTATCGAAGTGAGAATTTGAAACGATATCTTATCAAAGTAAGATAGTCGTTCTTCTTAAGATCAAGTCAAAGCTCGAATCTCAAGGGATTGCCGGAAGCTCAGGAACTCTGCTCTCTCTGCTCCAAAGTGCTCAAAAATGATCAGCCCCCCCTCAAAAAAATAATCTCAGGGGGGTATTTATAACCCCTGAACAAACAGTGTTTCCGAGACAGCATTTGCTGTCTCGGCTGCCGAGCACGGAGAGGCAGTAAACACTGTCTCGCACGGAGAGGCAGTAAACACTGTCTCGCACGGAGAGGCAGTAAACACTGTCTCGCACGGAGAGGCAGTAAACACTGTCTCGCACGGAGAGGCAGTAAACACTGTCTCGCACGGAGAGACAGTAAACATTGTCTCGCACTGAGAGACAGTAAACACCGTCTCGCACGGCGAGACAGTAAACACTGTTTCCTTGTGTTCTTTTGATTTTTGATAACCTCCTTTGAGCTGTGTTTGGATATCTTTCAGCATTTTTTGACGCCTACAGATACCCCCTCCAAAGTTTTCCAGACTCATTCTTTTATAGAGGAGTCTGGGATACTTTGGATAAGATAGATTTTTCTTACGATCTCTTCAATACTTGGTTGAGTAGATCGTGTACAAGAATCCATAAAATGGCTTTGGCTCTTGATCTCTTCATCCATTAGTCTATTCAGTTCGTTGTAGTATAGCTAATATTTCTCCGGCACTGCGTTTATCACTTGACCGTTGTCGAGATCTTGATTCGAAGCTAGTTTTTTGTTCTTGTGGGTTCAGCTTTTGTCACCGAATTGAGACATCCATTGAGAGTTCGTCAGGTTATCCTTAAGAATATTCAGAATAATATTCTCCAGAAACTGCCTGTCGAATGTAGGAAAACAGTTTAGACTCATGTACATATTGGAATATTCAGGTTATTCTTAAGAATATTATGAGTGATATTCTCCAGAAACTTCCTGTTGAGATTAGGAAACAGTTTAGACTTGTATACCTATTGGAGTATTCTGGTCTCTTTTTTGTTGGTAGAGATAAACCCGAAATCGGATAGGAATAATTTTATATTCCATCTCCTAGTCTCTTGTTTGTTGGTAGAGATAAACCCAAAATCGGAGAGGAAGAATTTTATATTCTATCTCCTGGTGCAAAGAAAACTCGAAGTGGGATCTCCACTCAGAGAATCTGAACGGGTTTGAATAATCCTAACTGTCATAAGGTTTGATTATTCAATTGAAAGTGGACCTCTCGTTCGTGGAATGAATCGAGAAGAGATTTTAGTTGTGGTCCTAACTGTAGTAAGGTTTGACCAAGTGGGAGTTTGATACGATCCTAACTGTTTAAAGGTTTGATCGGTCAATTTGTGGGCCTCTCGTTCATTGAAGGAATCGAGAGGGGATTTTGGCTTTGGTCCTAACTGTTTAAAGGTTTGACCATGTGGGAGTTTTGAGACGATCCTAACTGTAGTAAGGTTTAATCGTTCAATTTGTGGACCTCTTGTTCATGAAAGGAATCAAGAGGGGATTTTGGCTTTGGTCCTAACTGTTTAAATGTTTGACCAAGAGGGAGTTTTGAGACGATCATAACTGTTTAAAGGTTTGATCGTTCAATTTGTGGACCTCTCGTTCATGAAAAGAATCGAGAGGGGATTTTGGTTTTGGTCCTAACTGTTTAAAGGTTTGACCAAGTGGGCATTTTGAGATGATCCTAACTGTTTAAAGGTTTGATCGTTCAATCTGAATGGACCTCTCGTTCATGGAAGGAATCGAGAGGAGATTTTGGTTTTGGTCCTAACTGTTTAAAGGTTTGACCAAATATGAGTTTTGTGAGGGAAGATTGATCTAAAGAAGTGATCGAATCTCATCTCAGCAAAAGAGTATTTGAAAATCATCGTGGGGATGTAGTGTTTATTACTTTGTTCGTAATGATCGGGTTATCCATAAGGAAATTACATATAGCATTCTTCCGAGAACTTCCCGTTACATGAACCATCCACCCCCAGCTTTCCTTACGAAATTGTGTTTATCATTATATTCAGCTGTATGGTCGGGTTATCCTTAAGAGTACTATGCATAGCGCTCTCCAGGAACTTCCCGTGAAAGAAAGGAAATAGTTTAGACTCATATACCTGTTGGAGTATGTAAGGAAGCAGTTTAATCTCATGCACCTGTTAGAGGATTGAGAAGCAATTTATACTCGTATACTCTTCGGAGTGAAATGGAGAAGCAGTTTATACTCGTATATTCATCGGAGTTAGGGAAAACAGTTTATACTCGTGTATCCAATGGAGTATGGTGTCATCTTTAATTGACTTGTTTCGCCGTTATGACGTCGGTGTCAATTAATGCTTGGATCTTATTTTTGAGTCCAAAGCAAATATTGGTGGGATGAAGAACCCTTCTGTGGTATGCACAGTAGTTTGGATCTGTAATCATCTTAGCACCCTCCTGATCTTTAATAGGCGGTAGCTCGATTTTATCATTGGTGAGGAGGTATTCCAATATGGCTGGAGCTTCATCATCTTCGAAAGAATACTCCTTTTGGAACCTCGGATCGAGAGTCGCGTTTCCAGCGATTGCAGATGTCGTTGGTTGGCTTCTCTCAGCTTTCTTTCTTTTAAGAAAGTGTTCAGCTTGTTCGCCACGTATTTTTAAATCTTTCCAAGTTTTGGATGGTACGACCCCCAGGACTTCCAGGACATCGATAGAGAGATTATTGTAGCATGTTTGCAGGATGAATTCCTCTGTAACAGGATCTCTGCAATTCATTGCTTTGCCACGGAAGCGCTTGATAAAATTGTCGACTGACTCTCCGTCTTTTTGCTTCTCATCTAAAAGGGATCCGATTGACACTTCGGTGTCATCATCGAAGAAGTTGCTGAGGAACAAATTTTCCATGTCATCCCAGCAATTGATGCTCCCTGGCTTGAGCCGTCGGTACCAATCGAAGGCGGGCCCACGAAAAGTGTCAACGAATGACCGGACCATTAAAGCCTCGTTTCCAGAGATCATGCCCAAATGAGACTTGAAATAAATCAAGTGCTGAATCGGCGCGCTCTTCCCGTCAAACGGTGTGAAATTAATCAGATTGAATTTTGATGGGTATGGTATTGAGTCTCATTCTCTTGGATAGGGGCATGGAATACCCGTCTTTTTCACTTCTTAAGCCGTCATCAAAGCGTTGATTTTGTTTTCAAGCTCTTTCATTTTCTCGTCATCGTCTATGTCTTCATTCGAAGGACGTTGAGGAGAATGAGTTAGGCCACCCCCTGTAAGAGGTGTCATTGAATCACCCCCAATATCGTTATTGGGAGGGTGCGTTAAACCACCCCCAGTGTTATTGCTATTGGGAGGTGTATCAGCCATAATGACTTCATCCACTTCTGGATCACTATCATCTGCCACATTCTGAGTGTGGCGGCTGGATTCAGCTCGCTGACTGGACTCAGGAGGTTGAGGCCGTTGAGTTAGCAATTCTCTCATTTGTTGGATAGCTAACTCCATCTCTGTCTTCATCTCAGCTCTAATTTCTTCACGTTGTTTTGTTAGAGCTTCTTAAAGCATTTGAGCAAATAGATCAGAGGTGATCGTGAGTACTTCTCTGGTTTGTCCCGTGCTAGACATTGTATCATCAAAAGCGATTGCAGAACAAGTGTCCGAGAATTCATCCTCCGAGGACATTCCTTCTTGCATTCTCTTGTAATCTCTGCGTCTGATGGCTCCTAATTGGAGTCGAGACATCTTTTGAGCAATTCTTGGATTGACTTTTCCTTTCGGGGGAAAGTCGGGATTTGAGTCACTTGAATGCCGCTTAGACTTTCTTTTATCAGCCACGTTAATGGTGACTTCAGGGAATTCATCATCTTGGGCAGCCGATTTTCTCTTGTGGAAAAGTCTAGGTTTGGGCTTCGACATTTCAGTAGAAAGTCTCTGGAACATATAAACTTTCGGCGGAATGACTTTAAAGTAGTTGCATTTGGACAACACTGCTTTGGTAAGTTCTTCACATACACAATGACGATTCGTTTCTCGAACAGTCCTTTTATGTGATTTGTTTCCACCTTCAGCTTGATAGTACAACTCGTTAGCATGGTGACCAGAGCAACCTATCTTCTGTTTTTGTATTTGAACCTTGTTACCATACTCAGGATGACTTGTCAACGTCTCTGAGCGATCCAAGGTTATGTCGGGAGTCACACGTTTAAAACCACCCTCTTGCGGGTATGGAGTCTTAACGGACTCCGAATGCTGATTTTGCATAACTCCAGACTTTGGAATCCAAGTTTTGCAGAGTTTTGGTGATTCTTTGGCCACCGTTCCCTTGTTTCTTTCTCGTCTTTGTTGTAAGAGAGCACGGGCATGAGCAGCGTTTGCACGACGCTTTTGTATACGTTCTTTGAGTGTCGAACGAGCCCTTTTGAGGAGAGTCCATTCATCTGTCGTTAGTTTAACAGAGAAATGAGTGATTGGCTGTTGAGACAACTGAACCACTCGATATCTCCTCGACTCTAGGTCCGCGTGATAACGAACCTCGTCGGTTTGTTCCAAAGCCTTAGCTATTTGGCGAGCGCGGCGCTGACGTTGTCTCTGACGAGCCCTCTTCGTCAGTGCCGGTGGGCTTTGGTTCGATGACTCTTTAACTAGATAAGAGTCATCGTGAGCAGAGATGTTGCGAGTAGAATCCTCAGCAACAGAGCAGAGATGTTGCGAGTAGAATCCTCAGCAACAATCAGGCGAGAGTCTTCATTTTGTGCCTTCTTTGACATGTAAGTCTTCTTCAATGATGAGATCTTCTTGTACTTGCGAGACAACGAAGATCTTAAAGAGGATGATGAGAGATATTCCTCAAACTTGGTTTGGTCGAACTCGTATTCGACCGTGGATTCAACTGGAATCTTGATCGGCTGCGACACGACGGTCTCGACAGCGAGACCGTTGGCTCCCACTGTGGTCGCCAGCTTGTTTGCGTCAAAAGTTAACTTTGTCATGGAATTCATCATATCTTCGGTCGATTACAATAAATGCGAAAGAAATAACATTTTTATAAGGCCTCTTTTACACAAAAAATAAAAATTACAACTCTTGAGAAACAAACGCAGGATCGTTGTTTGGATCGCTGCTTGCGTGGGATCTTTGCCTGTGCCGGGAGCGCTTTGACTCGTGGACCACCAAATCACAGATTCTGATTGAATCGTGAGGGGTTTAATGATTCTGACTTCGTTTATCGAAGTGAGAATTTGAAACGATATCTTATCAAGGTAAGATAGTCGTTCTTCTTAAAATCAAGTCAAAGCTCGAATCTCAAGGGATTGCCAGAAGCTCAGGAACTCTGCTCTCTCTGCTCCAAAGTGCTCAAAACTTTGAAAACTGTCTCGCGTGCGAGACAGTAAACGCTGTCTCGCACGGAGAGACAGAAAACACTGTCTCGCACGGAGAGACAGTAAACACTGTCTCGCACGGAGAGGCAGTAAACACTGTCTCGCACGGAGAGGCAGTAAACACTGTCTCGCACGGCGAGACAGTAAACACTGTTTCCTTGTGTTCTTTTGATTTTTGATAACCTCCTTTGAGCTGCGTTTGGATATCTTTCAGCATTTTTTGACGCCTACATAAGTATGTTGCCAAACATGTTGTTTGTTGACCCTAAGTATCAACTTGGTATATTTCTTACTCCAACGATGGTAACGTATATTTCATGGGACGGGTTTGGCAACAATGTCTATTTTTTGCCAGAGTCAAATTCCCAGTGACTAAATGTTACATGACTCATCATGTGATGTTGATGTGACAGGTTCATTCATTTAAGCTAAAAATGGGTAAATTTTCAAATTATGGCTCCAAAGAGTGGAGATCAAAAATGGGTGTTCTTCTTCCTCCTATGCTTAAAATTGGGTTAGAGTAACTGAAATTAGAGATGTATTCTACAATTTGGGAAGGAATCGTCCTCCCCCTCACATGAAATTGGGTTTAGTCTTGGCATATGTTTGTGGTATAAATTACTAAAACAATGATATTAAAAAAACCGACACTTAAAAGCAAGTTCTGAACAAGAAAAACTCTAATATCTCCCTCAAGGATCCAACTTCTGAGAATTAATAACAAAGTTAACTGCAGCATAATGGATAACTAAGATAAGATTATTATTATATAGAGAAGTTGCTATTCCATTCTTCATGCTTGCATGTGTAGGTCAAAACTTAAAAACGTGTATAAAGATAAAATTCTTGAAAAAAGTTTCAATTTGTTTATTTTTTGACATACTGCAGAATACCTCAGGAACGTGAATTCAGAAAGTTCTTCGCACATATAAGGTTCACCTTGAATAACGAATAAGCAAGTTATCTGGTTTGAAATCTCCATGGATTATGCCAACAGCATGCAAAGTTTCCAACATGCGCAGCATCTCTATTGTATAATAGATGCATAGTATTTCGTCCATGAACTTGTGCAATAAAAGGTGAGAATTGATAGCATCCTGCATAAGCCAGTTTTAATAAATAACTTCATCCTGTACAGCTAAGTAAAATCTCACTATACAATTTCCAGCGGAGGAATATGCAGTTACCTGAAGAGTTCCATGTGATAAATAATTGCAGACAAGTATGCTGATATCAGGGTAGATGTGCACTTTGTGAGCAAAACCAAAACTTGCTCTCTGAATATGCAGAATGTGTAAGAGCATATATTGTTGCATCTATTAAAAATTAATGCCAATACCATACCTCCATTTCAGGAATCCTCTTGTCAAGTAGGCGATATATATAGAATTCCCAAGGGAAAGCCGGCTTTTGAATCTGTAGGAGATTTATCATCACTGATAATAAATATCAAGCAATTTTTGTAACCGTTGGCACAAAAGTTAACCATGAGATAGAGATGACCTTCAATGCGACAACATCATCAGGATTGCTGTTAATAAAAGCCTTGAAGACTTGAGCAAACCCACCAAGGCCAGAGCAACCCCTGATCTGGTATTTACAGCCACCTTCATAAATAAGCAACTAAGATGAATGCTATAGAACTTTGAGGCAGCATGATTATCGTTTGTTGTATTTCAAATTTTAAAATAAGAATCCATTTGTAGGATATGTAATATTGACCACTACTTGCAAGATAAGCGGAGGATGAAATGCAAAGGTTGGATATTTTGAACCAAACATTAAACTACTAAGATAGAATATGATGCCAAATAAAAACTAATATGCTTAAGTTCACACACACACACACAAATAATGCTTCTGAAATTCACACACCAAAAAACAATGATAAAGTTGACAGCAAGCAAAGTAGTAAAGATGTAGAGGGAATAACTAGAATTTTTGAAAAGGAGTCGTTGTCACCTTCGATATTATTGATTGCATCTTAACCAAAAGATAGACCAATACACACTGTATATATGCTTCGTAAAGTTGCAACGTTATATGTAAATACAACATAGTTTTTTTCAAACTTTTATAAGGTCAGGATGAATTCTCAAAAAATTACCATATAATAATAAAAACAAAATTATAAGACATTTAACTCATCATTACCAAAAACTATTTGAAAACAAGACTAGAATTTTCTTGGATATTTATCTTCAAACAAATATCATATCCTTAGATTTGACAAATTTTAGCCATCTCTAATCAATATTACAACATAGACATGGCAGTATGTTACGAGGGAGGAACCATAGCTTCTCATATGTTTCACCTTATGTGTGACTCTGCTAAATATCTGTTTTATACTCCACCCCTATCAAAAGCATGCATCCGTGTTGGATTTGGGTGTGGATCCAAACCTCCGCAAGCGAGCTCGAAGACGACATCCTTCAGGCGAGCTCCAGCTTGAGGCGAGGTCGAGTTCGAGTTGATGCAAGCGAGGTCGAGTCGAGGTCAGGCGAGCTCAAGACCTTCAGGCAAGGTCGACTCGGGCGAGGTCAACGCATCCACAGGCGAGCTCGACGCAAAGCAGGCGAGGGCGAGATCGAGATCCAGTCAGGCGAGTTCAATGTTGAGGCGACCCCTTGCAAGCGAGCTCGAGAACCTCAGGCGAGGTCGATGCTGACAGGCGAGCGCAGGCAAGCTCGAGTTAGCATAGGCGAGGTCGACGCACGCAGGCGAGCGACAGCCTGTCACCAACCTGTCGTTTTTCAACCTAGGGTTTCCCTATTTAAGGAAAACCCAGATCTCGCTCTCTGCTTTTTTTCCCCCTCTTGTGCTCTCTTCTCTCTCTCTCTCTCTCTCTCTCTCTCTCTCTCTCTCTCTCTCTCTCTCTCAGCCCTCAGCAGTGAACTTTTGGGGGAATTAAAGGGGGGAATTAAAAGAGGAGTTATTATTGTAGCTACGGTAACGAGCTTTCATTTATTGAGAGATCTCAGTTTGAGTAAGCTTTATAATTTCTTTTGATAAATAAGAAATTAATTGTGTGGCTCCCGAGGATGTAGGCAAGTTTGTCGAACCTCGTAAATCTTGGTGTACTTTTTTATACCGCGTTTCTTGCTGTTTTAGGGGTTTAGCGTAGTCTCGGTTATTACCCAACAACTGGTATCAGAACCTAAAACGATCTAGAGGAAGTCAAATTCAAGTGGGAGTAATGACCACAGAGCAGATGAAGGAAATGTGAGATTAGAGAAGTTTGATGGAACAAATTTAGGATTTTAAAAGATACAGATAGAGGATTATCCGTACCAAAAGAATCTGTATCAACCTCTTTCAGGAAAGAAGCCAGAGTCAATGAAGGAAGATGAGTGGAACCTTCTAGACAGACCCTCAGAGCTATCAAATTGATACTAACTCACAATGTTGTGTTCAACATAGCGAAGGAAAAGACCATGGCGGGTCTTATGACAGCATTCTTAAATATGTATCAGAAGTCATCAACCACAAATAAAGTTTATTTGATGAGATTGTTATTCAATCTGAGAATGGCAGAAGACACGTCAGTAGCACAATACCTCAATGAACTTAATACGGTCACAACTCAATTGAGTTCAGTTAAAATTGAGTTTGATGAGGAAGTTCGAGCTTTGATCCTTTTGTCTTCTCTACCAAAAAACTGGAACACTACAGTCACGACTATGAGTAGCTCATCGGAAAGTAACAAGTTGAAGTTCGATGACGTTCATGATCTCGTTCTCAGTAAGGAGATCCGACGAAGAGAGTCGGTTGAAGCTACAACCTTTTTAGTATTGCATACAGAGTCAAGAGGTAGAAATTCAATCAGAGTGAACGAACGAGATAAATCAAACTATAGAAGTAGATCAAAGGACAATAGGTCCAAGTCAAGGAATCCAAGCAACAGTTCGAAGACTATCGAGTGTTGGAATTACAGAAAGACCGTGCACTACAAGAATCAGTACAAGAGTGCACAAAAGGAGAAGGAGGCGAAGGCAGAGATGAATGTCACTTTCACCTTAGGAAGAGACAACGTATTGACATGCTCTTTGGAGAGCAAGGAAGAATCGTGGGTGTTAGACTCTAGAGCGTTGTTCCATGCTACTTCTTAGAAATTTCTTCGAGAAGTATGTCCCTGGAAATATTGGATATGTTTACCTTGGTAATGATCAACCGTGTACTATTGTGGGCAAAGATGTAGTAAAAATTAAGTTGAACGGGTCAGTATGGAAGCTGAAGAATGTCAGGCATATTTTTAATCTGAAAAAGAACTTAATATCTGTAGGCCAGTTAGCTGACGAATGATACATTACGATCTTCCATGAAGATGATTAGAAGATCTCAAAGAGTACAATGACGATTACCCGAAGCAAGAAGACTGGTACCCTATATATGATAGCAGGTACACGCTGTTTGATCTCAGTTACAGCAGGCAATGGGACTTCAAATTTATGGCACCAGAGAGTCGGTCATATGAGTGAGAAGGGAATGAAGATTATGCACACAAAGGAAAAACTCTCAGGTCTAGAATCAGTGGAGATAGACATGTGTGAAGATTACATACTTGGAAAGAGAAGAGAGTTAGCCTTCAGACAAGTGACAGAACCCCAAAGAAGAAGAAGCTGGAGCTCGTTCACTCAGATGTATGGGGACCAACTACCACCTCATCCATTAGTGGGAAACACTACTCCGTGACTTTTATTGATGATCACTCTCGGAAAATATGGGTCTACTTTTTGAAGCATAAGTCAGAAATGTTTGAAGCTTTCAGGAGATGAAAAGCTATGGTAGTGAATATGAGACAGGTCTGAGAATAAAGAAGCCCAGAATCGATAGTAGTGGTGAATATGAAGATACCAGATTTAAGAAATTCTGCTACAAGCACGGGATCAGAATGAAGAGAACCGTGTTCGGCACATCTCAACACAATGGTGTAACTGAGCGGATGAGCAGAACATTGACAGAAAGAACCGGAAGCATCCGTATACAATCAGGTCTACCGAAACAGTTCTGGACAGAAACAGTCAACACATCAGCTTACTTGATCAACCGAAATCCATCGGTTCTATTGGAGCACAGAATACCAAATGAGGTATGATGCGGAAAGGAGGTAAAACTCTCACATCTTAAAGTTTTTAGTTATGTAGCTTATGTGCATATTTGTGATCAAGGCAGGAACAAGCTTGATACCAAGTCCAAGAAATGCACTTTCATTGGCTATGATGAAAATGAGTTCGACTACCGTATTTGGGACAACAAAAATAAGAAAGTGATCCGCAACAAAGATGTGATATTCAACGAGAAGGTGATGTACAAGAACATGCACAAGACAGATGCCTTTGACTCAAAGGAGAGCGAGTCAACATCTATAAATGCAGATGATGTCCCAGGTGACCAGGTGACCTCTCGAAAGAACCAAATGCAACATGTCCTCAGCCAGAAGAGTCTGTTGGACAAAACGGTACGCAGGAGCCCGACGTACCAGCTCTGATATTGAGAAGATCTTCTCGGCCTCCTATGTCCAACAGGAGATATATGAACTATCTGTTACTGACAAATGGAGGGGAGTCTGAAAGCTATGATGAAGCTTATCAGAGTAGAGATACGAGCAAGTGGGAGCTTACCATAAAAAAAGATGAAATCTCTCATCTCAAACCAGACGTGGAAACTAGCTAAGTTACTCACGTGGAAGAAGGCACTCCATAACAAATGGCTATACCAAGTGAAAGAGGAGCAGGATGGCTCCAGAAGATATAAAATCCGGCTAGTTGTTAAAGGATTCCAACAGAATGAATGAATTGACTACACCGATATTTTTACTCCCGTTATGAAACTTAATACTATCAGAACAGTGATGAGTATTGTAGTTATTGAATATCTTCATCTCGAATAGTTAGACGTGAAGACGACGTTTCTTCATGAAGATCTAGAACAGGAGATATACATGCACCAGCCAGAAGGTTTTCTAGAAGAAAAGAAGAACCTGGTATGCAGACTCAAAAAGAGCATGTATGGTTTAAAACAAGCCCCATGACAGTGGTACAAAAAGTTTGATGGCTTCATGCACAAGTAATATTTCCAAAAGTGCAACGCCGATCACTGTTGCTACTTCAAAAGATATCAGTCCAGTTATATCATCTTACTATTATATGTTGATGATATGTTGGTTACAGGTACAGATATGAAGGATATCAGGAGTTTAAAACAGCAGTTGTCAAAGGAGTTTGACATGAAAGACTTGGGTCTAGCAAAAAAGATCCTTAAAATACAAATCACGAGAGATAAGAAGAGAGATTTCTTGCAATTATCTCAGACAGAGTACATCAACCGTGTTTTGCAAAGATTCAATATGGGCGACGCCAAGCTAGTTAGCACACCCTTAACAAGTTATTTCCGCCTATCAAATGATCAGTCTCCTCAGACGGAAGAAGAGAAAGAGAGTATGGTTAAGATCCCTTACGCCTCAGTCATTGGAAATTTGATGTACGCGATGGTCTGTACTAGACCAGACATTGGCCATGTAGTGGGAGTGGTCAGCCGATTTATGTCGAATCTAGGAAAAACTCATTAAGAAGCAATCAAGTGGATTCTGAGGTATCTACGAGGCACCACACAGAGGTGTTCGTACTTTGACAAGCGAGAGGTGGAAGTGCAAGGATACGTAGATGCAGACTTTGGAGGTAAAATCGATCATCGAAGAAGCACCACCGGGTATGTATTTACTGTCGAAACTATAGCTGTTAGTTGGATGTTACAAATACAAAAGATTATCACTTTATCCACTACAGAAACTGAGTATGTAGCAGTGACTAAAGCTAGTAAAAAGATGATATGGCTTCAGGGTTTGTTAATAGAGTTAGGATTTAAACAGGAGAAAAATGTTTTGCACAGTGATAGTCAAAGTGTGATTCACTTGGCTAAGAATTCCGTATTTTATTCTAGAACGAAGCACATCGGGCTTCGGTACCACTTCATCAGATCTCTGTTGGAAGATGACGTGTTAAAACTAAAAAATATTCTAGGAAGTAAGAATCCAGCAGATATGTTAACAAATACGGTGACCATTCAGAAACTGGAGTTGTGCGTAATTTTAGTTGGCTTTCATGCATAGGTGATGAGAGCGGATCCACACAGGAGAATATGCTTGTTGAGATAGCCTGCTGACGACAGTTTGGTCTCCAAGTAGGAGGTTGTTGGATTTGGGTGTGGATCCAAACCTTCGCAAGCAACCTCGAAGACGACGTCCTTCAGGCGAGCTCCAGCTTGAGGCGAGGTCGAGTTCGAGTTGTTGCAGGCGAGGTCGAGTCGAGGTCAGACGAGCTCGAGACCTTCAGGCGAGGTCGACGCATCCGCAGGCGAGGTCGACGCATCCGCAGGCGAGCTCGACATAAAGCAAGCGAGGTCGAGATCCAGTCAGGCAAGCTCGATGTTGAGGCGACCCCTTGCAGGCGAGCTCGAGGGCCTCAAGCGAGGTCGATGCTGACAGTCGGGCATGGGCGAGGCGCA